AAAGTCTTTATATATAGGAATATATAGGAAGGATGAACATCAGAAATAAATTACGTGCAGCATTACTTTAAAATTCTCTCTCATGAAGTGCCAAGAAAATACCGTATTATGCTGCACTGGCACTTATTCTTTGTTTTGTAACCAGAGGAAGACTCTTTCCATGTTTAAGGTGGAGACGCTAATTGGAAGTATAAAAAACAGACCATGTAGATAAGACAGTTCAAAGACACTGAAGCAGAACTAGACAGAAAAAAAAAAAAATTCACCCTTTTTGCTGATCAGTTATAGCCAAAGAATTCATGGGAAAATTCATGTATTTTGCTGGGGAGGAAGTGGCTGAAAGAAGCTGTTAGCCACACAAAAAGCTGCAGAAAGTTTTATTTGTCATACAGTTGGTGATAGCCATATGCGAATGATTGATTAACTTAAAGCACACAAATATTAACATGACAAATTTTAACTACCTCGTTTCAGCTAGGTTGCATTGAGTCCCCTTTGCCAAGGGACAAAGGGAGCACATGGGCAATTTACATGGGTGTAGCTGATGCAGCATCTCACTGAACGTGACAAAAGGAAAGGCAGAGAGCTAGAAGAGGTGAGGAATGAGAAGTGAACTTCCATTTGCATTATGTCCTTCCTTTGGCAACTTCAAAATCTGACGTTTTGGAAATCAGGAATAAACAAAATCCAAGAAGACTCACCAGTTTGGATTTTTGATCACTTTTGTATGGACATAAACCGTCACATCCCTGTCTGACTTCTCATTCAAGTTCCTGTGTTCCCACACTTGCTGCACCATTGTAGATGCACAGATGTACTGGGGTTTCTTTTGGTTGGTTGGTTTTCTTTTAAAGAATTTATGTATGTACACAGATATACATATTAAGCCCTGTTCCTCCTGTTCTGTCCATATTTTAACCAGTCTAACCAGATATAGTCAGCCTCTCCATCCTGCTTCCCTGCATACACCTCAATCTCCACATACTGATATATAAGAACTCCTCTTACTGATATTATGCCACACAGAGGAAATCTGAACACTGGCTGGCTACTAACAGCATCATGATGCTAGAAAAAGAAAAAGCACGCCAGGGAAAAAGCCTCCTCTTGCAGGGCTCTTTCATCTTTTGGATGACTACTATGCTTTTGCCTCTTCGCTCTGATACTTTCTTAGCCCTGGAAGGAGGCTGCACTCCCTGTAGCTAGAGATTAACTAAGGCTAATTTTGCCTAATCTTATGTAAAACTGATTAAGGCAGATAAATGCAAAACAAATCTTGGTCAATGGTCCTGTTTCCATGCATGAGAAAATATAAATGGAAATTAACTGTGCAATTACCCAGAAGTTTAGTTATCCCATTAATACAGACTGAGATACACAAAAGACACTGCTGTGCACTAATGATGCCTTCTCTCCTTAATAAAGGGAGAGATTCCTAAATAAAGGGATCATTAGAATCATCACAATTCCACTAAAGAAAGTATTCTTCATGAACTGTGTTTAAATCACATTTCTCAATAGGTTTCACCACTTAACCTCAAATATGGGAATGACAAAGCCCAAGAAATGCTTCGGTCATTTAAGCCCTTTAAAAATAAAGTGTGGACAAGTAAAGTTCACCAAAGTTTTCAAAAAGCAGACACTTAAATCTAATTATATCTTTATCTAGACACCTGCAGGAAACATGTCTGTAGAAATACTTTTTTTCTCACCATTCTAACATCAAGAATCATTTTAGAAGTCATTTTGATGAGCCAATCCTAACATTTCTTCGTTAATATTTTACCTTCACTTAGAAAAATTTCTCTTCTCCAGTATAAAGATAAGAGACAGGGTAAAGCTTGTAATAAATGATTGCTTAAATGGTTAAATTATGCCTCTTCATTCTAAATTCTCAATACCTCCATAATAAATAGACTTCAGACTAAAATATTTTAGTCTAGACTACGTAACAGAAATTAAATGCTTGGTATTGGTTAAGTACGTAAGAGCTTGCAGTGAGACCCTGGAACACTTTAAGTGGACTTATACATGAGTCATATGAATTTAAAAAATACAACTTACAATCTGATCAAAAAGGGGTGGTTGACCTCTTTCAAGACTGACTTTTCATTGTGCACATGCTGCTCTTGCTTCAGTCGAATGACATCAGGAATGCTCATTACTTTCAGTGCAAAGTAACGTTTGGCCATTTTTTCCTTCACCAGATGAACACGCCCAAAGGTTCCTGTGCCTGAAAAGTTGAAGAAATAATGTCAGCTTACCATAAAAAGAAAAAAAGCAAACATAATTTACTAAATTAAAACTTGAAGGAATTCAATTCCTGGTTTATTTTATAGGTTTGTGGGTTTTTTCCCTCATCAACATACCAGTACTACTTTTTCTACCTGTTTTCACACATTTTTTTCCTCAGGATTTCTCAATTTTTAGTTATAATGATTTAATAAAAATAACAATACTGTGCTACTGCCACTCCTTGGCTAGATACCGGAAGCCTTTCTTGCCAAGAACAGCATCAGTCCTGAGAAGGGGAAAGGGAGTTGTATTGAGGGGAAAAAAAATAAAAAGTATATCATATATATGATTCAAATGTAACCAATATAATCAAAACAAGCAAAACAGTTCTCAAGTGCAGAAGAAAGGCTGGGAAACACTCTCCTGAAATTTCAGAGATCAATTTTAATTTTCATCAAGATGGGAGGGTCAGGATAAACGCAAAATAACATTCAGCTTCCATATCCAGAGTGTGTGGCATAAAAATTTAAAAAATCATCACTGACCAAGACTGTAATGTTCAATTGTAATGGATTTAATAATTCCTGAACAGAAAAACACTACTTAACTATTCATATATTATCTATTAAACAAGGTAGGAAAAAAAAAAAATCAGGGCTTAAATGTAGGAACTGAAAACATTTAGAGTACATAATACACAAAAGTTTTGTTGACAACAACAAAAACATTCAAAATACTCATCTACCAAGGTTTGGTGACTGATAACAGCTGTCTGCAATTATTCAGGTGAGGAGATTATTCCTTTAAACATGGAAAGAGAGATGAAATGATTCAGTAGTATAAGGGACTGATGGAATAAAATACTTAAAAAGTTGCTGCCCCTTCTAAAAACAAATTTAAAAAAAACTGGTTATAGTGCTGCCTCATTGTAATACAGGGGAAAAGTAGATTTCAGGCACCCTTTTTTGTAATATATTCCTTTTTCAATTCACTCTTAAAATATAAAAGCCAAATAAAACCACTGTCTTTTAAATAATGTATTATGCATTTTTCTTATTGAATAAATAGTCATTAAAGATCCTTTTAAGTGCATTGCACTCAAAACCATTGTACATAACTGAACTGTTTCTTAGTTTGAAACTTAAGTTAAAACTAGCACATTTAGCCACAGTGCTATTTGTGCTACAGCAGTGTTACACATTGGAAGATGAACACACATTTCAGCTCGTTGGGTGGTTGTTGCTCATTGTTTTTTCACTCATTAAACAATGCCATGTAGGTTCCATTAGCATATTACACCAGATATTTTTAATCCTATTCTTTGACAGAAATATGTGCCACTATAAAGGACGCTTGGCATTCAAATCAACTGCCTAACTTGTAAAAGGCCATTTTCTTGTTGAGAAACGCCTTCCAAAAAACCCAGTCTTAGCTTAAACGCACAATCATCCCCTTCTTTGCACATACCATAGGAAGGCAGCCCACAGACCTATTTCAGTAGAATTAACTGCAATGTCATTTCAGATTGTTTTGACTGTTATGATCAACCTATATACTACAAGACAACTTTCTAAGATGAGCAGTGGGTGCAGGAAGATGAGTATGTATGTGAAAGCAAATAGATTTGGGGTGGGGGGATCAGGGAGGCACTATGGAGAGACCAAAAAAATGAACTTCCAAAAGTGCATTACTTGAGGAGGGGAGAAAAAACAAGGGAATTTTTGCCTCTAGTAGGTTTAAGAACTTAAGAATTTATTTTTTTAAAGTGTTCTGTATGTGTATTATCACTTAAAACATTTACATTTTATTTAACAGTTATTCTTTCCAGTCACTTGTAAGTAAGTGTGTTCAAGAACACCACATTTACTAAAAACCAAAACAAAATACTTATATTACGAACTAGAAACTACCATCTTCAGCAACTCAGTTTTATGGAACTTGCAGCTCCATTATCAATACAGGTTTCAAAACCAGGTTCAGAGATAAAACTTCTCACTACACAAAGCCACTAAGTATTACAGTTGTCCTAGCACAAAAGATTGTATCAAAGTTTTACATTCCCACCTGTCCTGAGTTACAGTTCTTTAACCATGAAAACTGTAAATGGGCCTCAGATAAAGCCTGCTGTTATAGTGCAGTAAGCCACTGGTTACCCTGGAAAATTTATCATGCAATTAAATCCTTTAACAACGCAGTCACATTACACGACTATACCTGTAAACAGCCCTATTTTCACGGGGACAGGCTTCTGCAGGAAAAAAAAAAAAAAAAAGAAAAAAAAAAAAAGGCACCCAAAAGCTTCCAAGCAGAACCATCTGTTCAAGCTACTTAAAACACTGATTATTTACATCTTTATTGAGTGCATAGACACAAAATTATCTTGGGTTATTTTAGAATTAGGAGGTGAAATTTAGGTTCTGAGTATCTGAAAAAACACTGTCAAGAATAACTATAGTCACAGTGCACAACGAAACTGAAAATCTTACATTTTTAAGACTTCCAAATGTGGACTCAGGGAAATTAACAGTATCAAGCCCTTATGAAAATGCTGGTTTTGTATGCATTTAAATACTTGGATGAACGAAGTGCTTCCACAGACATTCAACACAAAAAGTCCTAAGTGAATACATACTTAATTGTTCCTAAGACTTTAGTGATCTCATGTTTCATGACTTGTTCTACTTGTCCTAGAAATTTCTGGTTTAGAATGCTTTAATTTTTCATTATGCTATTGGTCTAACTTTACAAAATGGTGCTGCTCAGAAATAACAGTAATCATTATTGCAATCACAAGTTCCAGCCATTTTCAAAGAAGGACCTGTTGGGGACTTATTTAGCAACAGTGTTAACTTCGGAAACATGGCCTCTTTAAAAATGTCTCTGCCAGGAGCAGCAAAGCCTGGCAGGCTGTTCCGGAATAGTGGCAAGCACCTAATCTAGGGAGCCTCCGGGAAAACCAAAAGACCACACAGGCAGGCGAGAACATACAACCTCCCTAACCAGTTTTGTTGCTGCAAACTGATTGCAGGCAGTCTTTTTTTCAAACATCTTTAGCCCAGTTTCAAGCAACTATGGAAATCAAGAAGACAATACAGACCAAGAAGTCATCTAATATTTGTTTTCAGATGTCTTTTCTCATAATATTCATTTTATCCCATTCAAGTCTTCCCAGAAAATCCATTAGGTCTACATCAGTTGGTAATGACAGTACCCAGACACACAACCACCACCCTTCCAGCACTTCTGACAAACAATACACTCTCTTAAAGCACTAAAAATAAATCATATTGATGTTCTAGAAATTACTTACACCATTTAAGCTACTCAGTTAAACTCTCACTGCAAAGAGAAGCAAAGTGCAAACATGGCGAGTACTACCTATTTTTTTTCAGCCACGTACTTTAACCATGTGGGGCTATTAACAAGGAGTAGCAGGGGAACTTGCTGTAGAGAAGTAACGAAATGGGATATAATTTATGTCTTTGCACAGACACATACAGGACTAATTGTTGAGCTTTTCTCTTTTTATGCTCAGTCAGTCTGCAGACAACCACATAAACTCTGTATGCAAAGATGACAACTCAAATATCTCACTTCAAACATTTGGTCTGGACCTCCTGTTCATGCTTTTGGCCACTTCTTAGAAACATTTTAAAAATTCTCTTCCTTGAAAATAAGGGGGAGGTCAAGGTAGGAGACTGCAACAAGGTATTCTTACATTTTTTTCAGCACAGTCAAGAAAACCTAGCCATTTTATAAAACAGGTCTTATTTTGTGACTAGGTAAAAATTCAGCTCCTCACGTTCAAGAAAGCTAAAAAAACTGAAGCAGCAAAGTGGCAGCATGTAAGAAGGAGGCCCAGCTCCGTAAGTTTGAGGGAAGGTTTTTGGAAGCAGAAAAAGGCAAGGTTACTAGTCTGCTTTCGAAGCACCACTGCCTCCTGCCCCCCCGAAGGGAAGAGACACTAAACTCATGCAACAGTTCCTCTTATTCCTCCTGAAAGAATTGTTCAATTTTTTTGCCCTGATCACCTCAGAGCTCAGCTGCGTGAACCGGCTAAATTTGACCCTCTGTAACAGACAATTAAAAACTCAATAGAATTATCTTAAACTAGAAAGATTCTGTACTTGCCCATCTTGCGCCTAATAATTAAAGGAAACACAGTGTTTACAGATTTGCAAAATAGCCTACTGACATTTATTTAATGTTTAGTTCAAGAGAACTTCAAGGACCATGTACCAATCTGGATGAGTCCTGGGATCGACCCAGTACTCTCCTGCTGACAGCAATTGCTGATAGCAGTACACACGCACGCACCCCCACACACACACGCGTGTGCATTCCTACCTGTCTCTATTATAGCGTGTAATGCCAGAGTTTTAGAGAAAAAAATGTGCTTACATCAGACAATTACACCTCACGAAAACAGTTATTAGAAGGTAATAATAGTTATTTGTGCAGGCCCCGTCTCCCTGCTAAGGCATATAGCAAATGAAGGTTTCTGGCCACCGGTAACAAAGCCAGAGGAGAGTGCCTGTGCTATCTGCAACATGCAACAAGACAATTCAAGGTTTTTGGGACTAAATGGGCAAACAGAACAAGAATGCAAAATGCTAACCACTAATCCAGTATAATCTGTTTACAACAGAAACAATAAAGTTTTTGGATCCTTTTGCAAATTTTATGTGGTTGCAGAACTTGAAGGAATGCCAGCAATCTTCTCAATTAGTAACCTTCTCATGTTGAACACACAGAGAGGAGGCCAAAAACTGCAGACGACCAGCTTGGCCTAGGTATCAAACACAATAAGGGCATTCTCAGCCTTACAAAACATGTTGGATTCCCTAATGCTATGCCAAAATACCATAGCCAGCTTCCAGGATCCTACTCTCTTTGAAGCCTGGTAAATAGAATAAAGAATGTGGGAATACTTCTGATGCAATTTTAGATACTTTTGATGCTAGGAAAACCAATCCTGCAACTTTTGATTGGCTAAAACAACTGAGTGAGTAGTCGTGTAGTGACTATTTTGCTATTGATGTAGGTGACTAATTTAATGCTCAGTTTGCCTCTTTATTTGCTCCCATTAATTAGGCCCAGATGTTCCAGCTTCCCATCCTTTTAATCCCCAGCTCTTTCTTAAAACCAAGTTTGCCTTGCTCAGATAGATACCATCTGTTTTAATGAAGAATAAACTAGGTCATGTGAGATCCACGACCCTGAGGGCTGTTTTCTGAGTCTCAAAGGGGTTCATCCTGATTTCCACAGATGCCTACAAAAAGCATCAGATGTATTTGCTGTTATTTACAGTTAGAAGAAACATTTCCTACTGTGCCACATATTAGTCTTTGTTGGTAGCCAGAAGCACGACACATAATTCTGCCAAGTATCAGAGATAAACCAGGTAAATTGTATTAGATTACAAACTCACTATTAAGATAGTTTGTCTGCCATTTAACCTCTGTCTCATCTCAGGATGGAACTTGAACAGCCTAGCAATAGAGGTCCAAAAAGAGGAATGGGGGTTGTCAGTAATTCCTGACAAAGAAAGGGAAGAAGTGGCACAGGAAAGGAAACCAGCCTGCCCAAGCAGCCTGGTAATCAGAAGATTAACACTTGAGAGAAAGATATGAGGAAACCACACAACACTAGCAACTGTGGGCTTCCACAACAGAAGATGTGGTTGATAAATGAATGGGGCAACACAGAACAAGGGTGATGATTTTGGACATCACAGTAGCCAAGTTCACTTTTTTGTTTTTATAACCCATAGACCAGTGTCAACTGAAAATGTCTTGCAGACTACCACTCGACCTTCTCAATGTCTTCACAGTGTTCCACAAACCAGCTATGGATTGATTACCATAACTGTTAGACCACTGCTTCTTACTTCTGTATCCCTCTGAAGGTTCTGATCTAAACCTGAAAAACACGCCAGAGAAATAAAGAAATTTAGAGGAGGTTTTACAGGCTGCCTATTCTTTCACCTAGAACTGCATATCTCATACTACTGAATGTAAGAATTGTCAGGCTATGCTTTTTGCAAAGCTTTTCTATATCCTTCAATGATCACATATACCTGAGGAGACATTCCTACATTTCTAACCATAAAAGCATATAAAATAGAGATGCCTCATACAGTGTTCACCATGTGCAGCTCTGCCAAATTTGCTTCTATGACTTTGTTCATTCACCCACTGTGCTATGATTCAGTTTATACCAGCAACTCCTTGGTTAGAAAAAATTCTCTTTCTAGTTAACAATCATGTGAGATCCTACGCAGCAAGAAACATGCCCACTACATCCCAGGCAAGATCATCACACTTCAGACTACCTGTCCCAGAAATTTTATTGCCAGTGCCATACCAGCAGTTCTCCCTTATTTCTGTTTTCGATTCTAGACTCATCCTCTGACAACCCATTTTTCAACTGAAAGCTCAGTATCATTAATTCTTAATCCCAGCTCAAAGGCAGTTGGAAAGAAGCAATGCATGTTTGAAGTACAGCCTAGCTTTTAACACAAAGATGCTGATGTAAACATTTTCCACTTCTTTGCTGCTTCCAGATCCCAAAGATCTGGCAAATTTTCAAGTTCTTTCTTACTTGGCATACAGAGAGCTTACAACACACCACTAAAACTACATTTAACAATCTGGAATTAGCTATAGTCTCTTTTCAACTTTGCACAAGATTTGATATGTCTGAGAATACCAAGCAATTGTGTCAACAACTCTTGCTGTTGACCCACCCATTTAAATCTGTCTGAATTACAATCCTTAAGAATTAAGAACACAGGAATCACCAGGCTAATTATTACCCATCAGTCAAGCTTCCTGGTTTTTAAATAGTTCAGAGGATGGTTCCTGATTTCCAAAAAGTGCCATTCTCCAGAACAGCAATGTTCCTAATTCCAGATAACATTTTGTTTGATGGGATTTTTTTGGGTGGTTTTGTGGTTTGGTTGGGGTTTTTTTTTTTGGGTGGGGGGGG